AGTATATAATCACATAATATATAATTAAATATTTATATTAAGGTTAAACTATGATTTAATTTATAAGAAATAACTCTATATAAGGTGCAATTTCTTTATAAACATATTTTTAAAACAAATTTATTATGTGCCAGCAGTGTAAATATATAGAAAAACAACTGTATTTGTTACTAGTAATTACAGTATCTATATTTATTTAAAAGGGTTTCATAATTTAGTGCATGTGCATTATAACGCACCCACCTGATTAACCAATCAGATCGTAAGATCAGGTGTAATGTGAAATCGAAAAAAATAGCTTGAAAAAATTGCCTGTAACTCATAATTTTGCTTATAAAACCACCTTTTGCATTCTAACAAAAAAATTCCTTGCAAAATTTTGGGCATAACTAACATTTACCAACAATCTAATTTAACCTTTTATTAGTGCTAACACTTACCCTAAATTAATGCGTTGCTAGTTTGTTTTGATTTCATATTACACCGGATCTTATGGGGTGTATCACAATGCATCTGTGCTAAATTATAAAATTCTATATAAAATTATATTTAGACTTAAAAAAAATATAGTTTGAAACTATAACTATGAATAACAAGTGGATTCATCTAAAAAATTAGCAAACTTAAAACAAAAATATATATAGAAACAAATAAGAGTTATAAGAAAAGACTATATATTAAATAGTAAATTTATCTACATCCCTATTTAAATTTATAATTTAACTATAGGAATATTTTTATAGCACTATAGTGCCATAGTACTACCTGTGTAATTGTCATACAATCACGTAATATCATATATGTTATGCTTGTGTAATGTCTATGCATATATGCATTTACTATAATCTGCAAGTCTAGTACGTACGTACGTACATATATACCTGATATGAACGAACGTATGAACTATATTTGCATACTTTATTTTCTATATCAAATATTGCCTATCATTCAAGATCATATTTTTACTAAAATTTCAAATATATTTTTAAGTTTATCAGAAAATATAAACAAAATTATAAAAATCAAGCATTAAATAATACATCGATAATTGATTGCATCTATAAGTTGTCACTATTAAGAGTTATTGAATCTTTATAATTAACTTTAATTGTCTGAAGAGTTAAGGCATAAAATTCATAATAAAGTTAAGAACCTTATTTAAAGATATAAACTTAACAGACTAAAGATAAAACCTTTTCTCTGATCGATTTAATAATTCAAATTCGTTATCTGTAAGATCCACTTAAAATAATCTAAGCTTCACATAGCAATTAGAATTATCTAGCTATCCGATAATAGGATTATACTTTATACAAGCTGTTATTAAAAACTAAGTTATATAATTTGAAATGTATTAAAAATAAAACCACGGTCAAAGGCTCTTTACAATCAGCCAGGATTCGTCATGAATGAATAATGTGAAATTTAAACTTTAAGCAAATTCTTTCTCAACCATTTTTAATCCTTTTTGTAACATATAAAATTTTTGATTTATAAAATTAATTTACAATAAACATGTCAAAAGAAAAAATGTCAGCTCAATTATTATCTCAAATAACTTCAAGATGCTTTCTAAATGACTTAACCTAATTTTATATGTATAAATGAATACTGACAATCTCCGATTTATCTAAATGAATAATAGAACAAACTATTAATTAGAATATTTATTGAGGTAGTAAAGGGATCTTGATCATGAGAACACTTAGTTTTTAGTAAATTCATATTATCGTGGCAATGGCCATTTTCAGAGTCGTCTAACTGGTAGCTTCAAGATGATTATTTTTATAAATTAAAACATTATATGATTAATATAAAATATTGCCAGATTTAGATCCTTGAATCAAACCTTTAATTACACATTCGCAGCTTTATTTATAGACTTTAGTTTAATGTTAGTTTTATTATCACTAACCCTGAATTAGTTATTATCTTTTGTGTAAATTTAGAACATAAAATTATAAGAGTAGTAGCTTCTATGCCATCTCTTTGGACACTAATTTAAATTGTGATAGTTCATCAATCTTTCAATTAGTTACAATTGATATGAAGTTTTATGACTTTGATTATTTCTACATTTGTATTATTAATCTAAAAAAATAATACCTACTACTCTTAAAACTAACTACATATAAATGAGCTTGGAAAATGAACAAAACTAATACATAATATACTAAAGTAGCTTATCATTACAGTAGTAAAAATTACAATCATCCTTGTTTTTTATTACACTTCCTTCTATTATGACCCAGTCCCTTACAAATACTATATTGCAGTTGTTGTTTTGTGCCTTTTGGTGTCTCATATACCAGTCATTTTCTACCTGTCCCATTCAGCCTTTCTTTTGACTTGTGTTTATGAGAATTCTCTAAGTCTTGAGGATCAAGATTTTCATTATCAGATTCACTATAATTTTCTCCTTCCATATTAGATTGTTTTATTTAGTGTTCTTTCATATATTTGTCTAAAATTTTAATAAATTTGCGATCATTATTTTGAACTGCCAAAAGTGTGGCTGCCTGTGCATTTCTCCATATTTCACCATATAGTTGATGCTCCTCTATGAATTCTTGATTAATTTCTCTCTTTACACCCAAATAATTATAATTTAGTGCATTAAGGTGATTTATATCCATACTGGCCTGACTAATAGAAGCAATAGCTGTTGAGTCTTTTTCAAATTTTGGTGCAACTATGAAAGATTCGCATAATTGATCATTGTGTATTTCCTTATACTAGCGAGAGTATATTAACTGAATATGAAAGGTTGTGGCGCTTGTGCATAACATAATTTGAAAAAAATGACAACAGATGAATTCATAGTTACGGTGATTAAAACATGAACATAAATGAAGACCATTATTTAAAAGAATTACAAAATGTTTTATATTTTTTTCTATAACATGTCGCACAGCCCACATTTCTACAATATCATCAATAGTAACAAGAACAATTAAAACTTTTGCGATAATTGTGGTGAAGTTTTTATTAAATAAATTAGGATCCTCAAGGTTAACCTATATGAAATATAAAATATTAATCAATTGCAAATTTAATTATAAATGTGTATACATATGCTTACTGAATTATAAGTTTGCAACTCATTCTTACTAATACAACTAGTATGATAATAAAGGGCTTGGATGATTTGATCTTCTTGAATCTTCCGTGTCTCTTTTGTTAAATATGCTTTCAATAGTTGGCAGACATTTGGTAATATTGTCTCAGCTTTTGAGGATAAGACAATTTTAGGAATTGAAGCACGAAAAAGTAAATACTTTGTTCTTTTATCTTCATCACAAATACATGTTGATAGTGCCTCTGCAAGTTTAAAAGTGTTGTGTTGGAATTAAAAATTAACCACTTAATTTTTGCATTGTAGCTCTCAACTCGTGAAGTGGATGACATTTCAGCTATAAATGAAGTTAAAATAAAAGCTTTTGCCCAGGTCTTTTTAATAGAATAAAGTTGATGTAAATAGCCAACAACCTTATTATGATCATATTTATTGACCAATTACGTCCACTTGTATTCAAAGACAACCTTAAATAATGATTGTTGTGCTTCATAAAAATCTTTAGTAAACTCATTAAATTGGTTACCAAGATAGCCTTTGAGATTTGTAATAAGGTTTTGAGAGATATGAAATATACAATGAAAAGCTTGGGTCATAGAAACTCTTCAAGGATTGCAGCAGAAACTGCAGGATCTGTATCTGTAAAAATTACTTATGGAGTAGCATTACGTGTGGCATTTTTTATTTATTAAAAGATTCAACAATGAGACTCCATTGTTTTATCATCTATAAGTATCTGAATTACTATATGTGAATATAAATAATTATCCACAATTAAAAATATTGAGAGCATCATTTCATAACGATTAGTGGCTACTATACAATTATTAATAACTATGTCATTAAATTTCAACCAAAGTTCAATTTTTTTGGGAGATATATAAAACAATCGATGAAGACATTTTGTAATAGAATCCCAGTCCACTACTACATACCAACACAGATCCTCTTCTTTCTTCCTTTGTAACTCTTCATACAGACAAGCCACATCGTTGGTCTGATTACATAGTTTTGGATGAAATTTTTGCATTATTTGTCGTAATATAGGCATATAAATATTATGCACTGGATAATTCTCTTCTAATGCTTTGCAGATTTGTTGAGGATTGCAGTTCATTTTTTTTTACATAAAATTCAATATCCTCAAGCATCTTTCGGTAAAGTTAAGTGACTCTTGAAAAGAACAGTAAGGTGGATTAAGTTCATGATTTTTATGTTGGTCGATTATTTTTGTAACATAAACGAGCTTATAAGAATTTTCTTTTTCTGGGCAGGAGAGGTTTATTTGCCAGGTGCATCCTATACATTTTGAAGTACTCTTATTCTGTAGATTTTTACTTCTTATCTTTTCTGGCTGACTGAAATGTTCACATACAATTGTATACCACCAAACATCTCTATTTTCTAATTTTTCTAAACAGAGGCACCTAGTTCCAAATCCTTACAAGATTTCAAAAAAAAAAAAAAATTAAGTAAATAAATTCATTCATTTTAGGCTTTAAATAAAAAAAAAAGTTTAAAGTAAGTATAACTATATATACCTTTATGATAAGCATACTTTTTTACTTCATTCATTGCACTATCCCAACTATTAAAAGTATTTTGTATTCCACGATCATTTGTATCTTCAAAAATATTTTGTTCAAGTTCATAATTACATTGTCTGCCATCTTTATGCTCTTATCATCATTGTGTTTATGCCCATTATAATCATATTCATTATTACTGTTATACTCACACTCACTGCTATATTTGTAGTCATTAATGTTCTTTTCAATTGCAATCTCTTCATTATCGCAGCTCATTATAATAATATTTATGCCTAATATCAACCTAATACTGTAATAGACATAACTTTTTATATACGATCATATATCTGTCTTTAACGCTTCAAAGAATAAATGTCAATGAACCTTTATTGGGTAATTTTGCACGAGTAATAGTCGATCTGATTACTGTCTCGATCATGATCCTTTTTTAGATACAAAACGGGTAAGTAATATAATGCAGGATAAAGGAAAAATGGGGAAAACAGGTTTGGTTGCCATTTTCTTTATTTATAGTAGGAAAAAAAAGGGTGAGAAAAAAAAGAGAAAAAGGCGGGAAAAAAGGAAGAAAAAGGGTAGGAAAAAAGAGAATGAAATGTACAAAAAATAAATAAATAAATGAAAAAGAGAGCGAAAAAAAGGAAAAAGAAAGATTGAAAAAAAGTGGTCAAAAAAACAGTAACAAAAAAAGCATGTTATACACACGTGTATTTTTACACTAGTTTGTAATTTTGTTGCTTTTCTTTTGTCAATACACTTCAAGTAAGTTTTAATATGTAGATATTTTTCAAAAGAAAGAAAAGAAAGAAGTTCAATCACATTACAATCAACTTCTGTTATTACACGTGTATATACTGTATTACAATACCATTGCAATTACGTAATAGTTAACTGTGTATATATAACGATCTACATTTAGTGTAACTAGTGCCAGCTTTGCTATCATCAAATATAAGTGGCACTATAGTGCCACGAAAGTATTTCCTTTAACTATATATGATAAGTAACGATAAAATTTATACTTGGCAAATTAGTAAAAATTTATATATGTAGGCAAAATCTGATTAAGAATTTATATGTATCATCTTTATTTAAATAAGTTGCAATTAATAAAAATA